AACATCTTAAAAGCACAGATGATGTAGTAGACAACTTGTCTTGCATAAATGAGGCTTTGAGTTCAATCAATTCCCAGTACCAGGAAAGAGGTGGAGGTAGGGATTGAGGTACCCAGTTGAGGATACAGACATAAAGGGAGCACTATTGTGACTAGATATGGATATTCACAACTAGAGCTGGTGTATAGGGCAAAAGACATAAGTCAATTCTGCTCCACTAAGGACTGAATCAAATATACTAAGTGAGCATTGATGCTCAGAGAAACTTTCCTTATCTAACTTTCCTGCCCACTCGTTTTCACTAAACTACAAAAGGAAACCAACTTGACAAGTCTTTCCGGACCCATATACAGGACCACTGCCCATTCAGTGGGCAAACAATAGCTCAGAGCACTTACATACATACATATGGAGTCAGTCTAGATCTGATTTTCAAATGTGATTGGAGTAAAAGTGTCAGGAAATTGTTTCAAGAATGGAATTGAATTAGCTGAACAACAACATAAAGACAAATGATTCAAGAGGATAAGTAATATTATTCAAACTATTTTTAAAAGATATTATCACCTACCAAACCAGATTAAGCTACTGTGAAAAATGACATATTCGTTAATAATTGAGGCTTGTTACAGAATAAGTTGACCAAAAAATTATTAATGGACCTTAATAATAAAATAATCTAAAGACTTAGTTGGACATCTAGCAGATAACTATCAGAAATATTACTTGGAACATGGATGAAAATGACAAAAGTGAAAATGATAAAGCATTTGAGGGAATAGCAAAAACAGAAGAGAAGAAACTATCCAAAAATAAAAACTAATAAAGAATCAACTAAACAATGACACAAGATTACTGTGCTAGAAAGAGCATATGAAAAAAAAGTCTAAGCATAATCAAATGATAAGAATTTCATGATAAAAAATTTCTCACAATCCTAAACACTTAAAAAATACCAAAATGACGTTGTGATGGTGTTCAGACTTACCTCACATCCACAAGGCCTAAGTTTCATCACCAACACTAGTACAAAACTAAACAAAAAGAAACACCAAAGAATTACAACCAAGAGGTTATCATTCTAGCTAGAAAACATACCGATGTGTAAATGACTTTAGTCAGGAATGTCTTTGGCACTGGTGGTGTATGCTATGTGTATGTTAACCCACGGTCAACCTGCCTGCCAGCTGTCATTCTACCACTGCTCAAACTGCTATGCCTAGAATGTCAAGTTGATGGTTGGAAAACAACAACAACAACAACAAAGAAAGCTGCACTTTGCATAGGGATTGCCGATGGCTGTACTGCAGTCATGGATAACATCTACTATGCATCACTGTATGACCTGGTGTAATGGATCAATTCATCACAGAGGACAGAGTCCTTAATAATATTACCAGCTTGAGCATAGGCCTTCAACACTAAAGCCTCTAGGAGGAAGTTCTAGATCCAAGCATAACCTGGTACTGGCAGGTAAAGGAAGAAATCAAACTATTTTTCACAGAGATTGGAACTCAATATGAAGAAATTTGGCTGGAAGCCCACAGTGTCAAAATTGTTGCACAAAGATTTACTAACAGAGGCCATGTGATGATCCCTGGTGCCACTAAAGTCCAATACTGGCCTCTGAGTTCTTGTTGCCTAAGGCTCTGTAATTATACTTCCTGTTCTGATTCTAAAGAATTCCTTTTCTATTTTTGGACCATGCATTTCCTTGGAAATAATAATCTGCCTTTACTTGAGTTAGCTTGAGAAAGTCCCTTACTTGCAACCCAAATCATGCTAATTCAAAGAGAAGCCTGACAAGCAATGATGTCGTTTATATCCAATAGGGAGGAGTGTTTTGGTGACTATTGGTCACCAGAGACCATGTGATAACCCAGATCTGCTTTGATGTGAAGCAGCCTGTGCCGTGGGAATTGAATATGTGCAGCTAAGATTGCCTTTTCAAAAACAGTACACTGTTCTTTTTAATTGCTCCCCCTTCTTTCTTTATAAACTTTATTGGGCTATTAGATTGGAGGTCTCAAGATATTTCCCAATGCCTCCAGTCCTTTTAAATGGTTTAGAAGAAAATTAAAAAGAAATAACCTTTAAATTCTCTTCAATGATAGTTTTGTTTTTGAGATAGAGGCGCAACAGAACCTATCCTTCAAAACAGGAAATAATAATGATTTTTTTCTTATTTTTCTGGCTCATTCAAAGAATTATTTTTTAAAAAAGGTCAGATGGGCCTTTCCATTTGTAACCCCTTCTCCTACAGAGTCCTTCCTAAAAGGAACAGGAAGAGCTATACTGATAGCAGACAACTAGCCCTCATGGCACCATCAGTTAGGCTAGGGATTATGCCAAGAGCCTTGCACATACAAAACAAGAATTCTACCACTTGAGTCACAATGCATGCCTTCATATTTTGTTTCCTTCTACAGATAGGGTTTCCCTGCTTCTTTTTCTACAAGCAAGTTCTGGACTGGCAATCCTCCTGAGTAACTGTGATTATAGACAGAGACTACCATACCCAAGTTTTCAGCTTCCTTTTAGACATAAGAATCTCCCAGACCACCTGGCCAAGGTCATCTTGGTGATTGTGATGAACTGGAGATACATATTAGAAATGCTTTACCATCATGTCTCAACATAATCAAAACAGGAACATTATACAAATTGTAAAATGACCAAGATTTTCCTTCTCTAAATTAAGATTTATCAAGTCACCTAATCACACAATTAACCCATTTTCAACCTACAGTGAAGTCATACTGACTTTTAGATCCAAGATTACCTAATTCAAGCCCAAATGCTTTCTAATAAATCATCCCCACGTTTTCAAACCTTTCTAACACTTTCTTACTGTGATGTCTCACAGTACCATCATGAAGTGGGTCTCAGTCTTTCAAAAAGTAGTAAACCCAATCTGTTCAGCTCCAGATGTGTTCCTGATGGTATCTGGATAGAGGACTTTGACAAGCCTTAAGAATGCTGGGGTTCTCTGCTTCATCCATACATTTCCTTTTCTCAGATCACTTAAAAGCAGCCACTTCTCTTAGTCTTAGCAACCAATGCCAACAACGTACCACGTGCCAGGTACTTTGTATAGATTCATTTTGTCAGTTCCCCAAAGGACTTTGGAGTAGATAAGCTCAGTACCCAATTTACAGATGAGAAAACTGGGATACAGAAGCCCCAACCCTAATAAGTAAATGAACCAGTGACTCTAGACAGCCAGTTGGGCTCTGAGTCGACCTCACACCGCTGTCCCCAGTCTATGTCCACCGTGCTCTGCTTGTCTGCTTCACTGCATAGGCAGTGCTGTCGGTGCCAGCAGAATACAGCAAGAGGCACTATAATAAACAGCCCCAGGAAATTATTGCTGAGTTTCCTGTAAGATGCTGGGGAGGAAGGCACAACCATAGGAAACATAAATAAACCGTGTCTCCCAGATCTCAGCACTGGAAATAACTTCCACACTTTTTCTAAGTAGTTGGGATTCACTTTTCACCTAATAGAGGTAGTCACATAACTCAAGAGGTTTGCCACCTTGATTTTAAGAAAGTGGGGCAATGGTTGAAAATTAAATACACCTAACAAAAGAAACTATTGGCATTACTTTTTCTTTCAACATGAATGAAGTGAACAGGAGAATATTCCTTCCTGTTAATAGTCTATTACTTTTAACATTCTTCCTTTGCAGCAAAGAAAGAGGGAAGCAGAGCCACAGAGCTTTGGAGGCAGTAATTAAAACCTAGCAAGACTCCAATCACCTTGTTCCGTTTATTATTTTAATTACTTTTGTAATTACTTTCCATCTGTAGCCAAGCACACTCGCTTTCCATTTACAAGTGATTCAAAGTTTCTTTTAAAAATAAATATATCCCAATGACAGTCTGTGTTCCTTTCAAAAAAGAAAAGTTAAACAAATAGTGCTACAGCTGGTCAGACACCCAACGGGGAAATACAAACATGAAGGTGCTCTGGAAAACTCTGACTTCACTTTCCTCTTTTCTGGATCCTCTGAAGACCAGAGTTTAACTCATGGGTCATCCTCTTAAGAGTCCCATCTCTGTCCATCACTCTTACCTAATGTCAGCCCTGGATTTGTCTTCTGCCTCCTTCCTGCCTCCCTACCTCACTACCCTCCATTCTTGGAGGATAGTGGCTGGAGTGAGATAGGGAGGGATAAAGAATATCTCTCCACAACACTGTGTCAGAGAGTAAAAGTGACCCGGATCATCCCTGTGCTGAGTGAGGGGCAAGAAACTCTCAGGAAGAGCAGTGTCTCTGGCTATCTCACGCTCCCTGGTCCTGGCAAGTTTCAATTCTTCAAACTGGTCAGAAACTACATTTCGAAAATGCCTTGGACAGCGAATTCTTTGGCTCCCCCGTGTCTGAGCCTCGAATCACCATGAGAGCATGTTGCTGTGAAATGTGGGAGTGAATTCAAGGATATTTTCTCGTGGATAAGGAGGGAGGTGATGTACTTTCTCGGCCTTTCTGGCCCCTTGACATTCAGTCCACCTACCTCCTCTTCAATTTACCTCCATCTTCCTGGAAAGGGGGTGGGGGGGTACCTCCCCAATGGAAGTCTTGGCGGTTGGGGAGGGGGGGAGAGGGGAGGTAATGGATCCTCCAGTGGAGGGCTGGGGGTGGGGATAATGGACTGGGATGGAAACCTGCCTCCCATCCCAGGATTGGGAGGGGAATGAGCAGAACTGGAGAGTTAACACCCAGGAGGCTGGTCTACACAGCCCGGGACTCCTTGATACCCTCCCACCCCCAGCAGTGGAGAACAGCTGGGTTTGGATCCCCCTCCTCTTCTTTGAAGAGTTCTCAGGAAGTTTGGGGGGAGGGGCGAGTGGCGCTCTCCTGTCCTGGCATTGGGCGCGGGGAGGGCGAGGCAGGACTCCAGACAGCAGCAGGTCTCCAGTGCTGTCACGTTCCTGCCCTGGGGGCCAGATTGCGGGTGCTGGGTAGGCGCGGGACACGCACGCACACTGACCGGCATGTGGGGCCTGGACCTTCTCAACGCCCTGGTCACCAGGCTGCTGTTCGTGCTGCACTCCCTGGTTGGCGTCTGGCGAGTGACCGTCGTGAAGAATGAGCCGCGGTACTGGCTGCTGGCGCTCCTCAATCTCCTGCTCCTCCTGGAGACGGTGCTCACGCTCAAGTTCAAGCGTGGCCGGGGCTACAAATGGTGAGCGTCCCGGGAAGCGGAGGAAGCGAGGGAGCCCGGGGAGAAGGGGAGGGGTTGTCTGGGTATTGTGCGTGGCATTTGTAGGCAGTCCCTTTCCCCACTTCGTAGTCTGCCTTTCTTTCCTCGAATTCAGATCCCCTTTGTCCTTTCTGGGAGCTTGGAAGGCGCGGGAGATGCGCGCGTCTCCTGGGCACGCAGTGGTACCCTTGGGTGCTAAGGCAGCGCGGAGCAGCCTGCAGCGCTGATCACCACCGAGGGTCACCCAGTGCCAGATTTGGAAACTTGGAAGATGAGGAAGAAAAAAAAAGAGGAAAGAGCTTGTCCACTTAGCAGAAAGTGCCGCCCCCCACCCCGATAGGGGATTCTGGCGGGGGGTGGGGGGAGCAGGAGATTGCCATTTGCCTGCGCTTTGTCCATTTGGGAGATGCAAGCCTGCAGGTGTGGGGACGCCTTCAGACCGGACATCCGCGGTCCTGGCGCAAGCGGTGCGTGCAGCGAACCCTTGGATGGAGAGAAGCCCCCATGGCTGCGCAGTGCGCGTCTAGTTTCAGCCACTTCCCCTCGGTCAGCCCCTGGCGCGCCTGTGGTTTCTTTCAGCCACTTTTCCATTGTGAGTGATAATCCGCAAGTGTCCTGGGCTCTTGGGTGAGGAACTAGCTTCAGGTGTCGGGGTTTGGTGGCTTGTGAGCTTGGCTAATGGCTAGCTTATCTTGCCAGATATGGGTTGTGTGGGTTGCTGGCAGAAGAGCCAGTGGGTAAAGAGATTCTCTCTTAACCTCAACCTGTGAGAAGTACAATTCCTCCCTGCTGCTTTTATTTCTTCCTGGGCTTGATGGCAAAAAATCTGGAAACGATTTTTGGGTTCTGTACAGAGAATCTCCGCCCTACTGTCCAACCTCACACTTCTAGACTATTATTTTCATCCTACACTTCTCCAAATCAGGCCTCTTCCCATATTATTATTATTAATTTAAAAATAATGAAGCTGTGTTTTCACATACATTGATACTTTAAAAATACCTACTGCTACAACAAAAAGGAGCAGACAGTATTTGTCAGTTTAAGAATTGCATACACTTTGGTGTTATAGTGACCATCATATTCAGTGGGCAAAAAAGACCCTCTACAAATTTACATAATTAGATACAAGCCATTGTTAATTTCATGACAACCATTAGAGAAAATGCATTTGAAGATGATTAGACTCTCCTTGCTTGAGTTTTGTACTGTTAACATTTCTAGAATTATCAAGAATGAAATTTTGGATTGTTACGCCAGTCCTCTCTGTTCATGCACAGTTTATTAACTATGAAGCAGTCATGGTACTTTCCACCGTGGCTTTTGGTGATGTTTGAGGAAAACTGTATTGGCTTCCCAAGTAAGCCTCCTGGCTACAAACATGAAAGGGGAGAATAGTGTTGTTCATACAACATGACATGTGCCATTGATTCAGTCTGAACTGAATAGCTGTAGTATATGAGGGTAGCCATCTCTTCCAGAACTGGAGAATAAAAAAATCTCAAGCTGGAAAATGTTCCATGTAAAGTAGTCCTGTCACCAACCACCAGTTTTCTGGGATAAACATTGACCTCAGAACAGGAGCCAGCTCAGCAGGACCTGAAGTAACCTTTCTCTCTCTCTCCAAGACTTGATCAGATCCATCCCAGTTGTGTGGAAATACAGTAGCAGAGGAACTTTAGCTGCATGTCTGTGTCATGGCTGACTATTGAATCAGGCAGACATGGAACTGCAAACCAAGAAAGAAAAAGTGGTTGGAACACACATGGGTGATGGTCAATGAATCAAATAACAGAGAACTGGCAATATACTAATGTCTAGAATTGGAGGGGGTCTCAAAGTCAGATTGATAATGAGGTAAAATACAAGCACTCCTACTTACTTACTGTGAAACCTTACACAGGGTACTCAGTGTCTCTGAGCCTTGGTCTTGGATGTATAAATATTTATTTGGTGGGTTGTTGAAGAACCCTTTGAGATAGTATATATGTTGATAGTCCATGAATAAAAATGAATTTTCTCTAGATCTTAAGATTTTCCTTTGTTTTCTTCTTATTCTTATATCAACTAAATACATTTTATGTATGTGCAAGTCAAATATGTTCTCTGGAGAGATTAGCCAAAAAACGTTGGTTCAGGGTGGAAAAGTGAGGAAAATATTTTATGAGAAAATCGGACCCATGATGTTATATAGTATGCATTATAACAGAAACTAAAAGAAAATGTTGGCTCAACATCTTAACTAATATTTGAAAATCATCAAAGGAAAAAAGTTGATATGGCTTGCAAATAAAGCCATTTTTGTAGTGACTAAAACCCCCACACTATTTTGTCATACAAAAAGAACAATCTGAGAATGGGTTGTTCAAAGTATATGAAAGCATATGTAATTATTCTTGAAATAACATGATAGCAATGAAAGGGGATTTGATTCGAGGCACATTTCATTTCTAGGTTGAAATTTTTGGAGAAATATTTTTTGGCTTTTGAATGATAAGAACAACTTTTCTTTACAAAATGTAGGTTAATGGAATCTAATAGAGTAAATATTATTAGTAATATCTATGCTATTTCTACATAGAAAAATATTTACATGTACATCTATTCATCAAAGTAATAGCTGGATAATCATGAAGTATTCACAGTACGGAATATGTTACTGGTATTGAAAATAATAAGCTAGATTCTAACCCCTGGAGATAGATTCATGATATATTATCAGGAAAGTAAAAGCAACAAAGTTACAGATGTTATAGGCCATTTAAAAATGGACATAGGAGAGAAATTTATCTTTGTGTAAATTGGAAACTGCATCTGCAAGTCAAAGAAGAAGAAGCAAAAGAAGCAGAAGCAGCAGCAAAAGTGGAGGAAGAAGAGGAGGAGGAAGAGAAAGAAGAAGAGGAAGAGGAGGCAGCGTTAGCTGCTCTCTCAAATTGAAAATTAGAAATTTAAGGCAGATGAAAATGTACATACATGTAGAATGAAAAAGTCCCTTTGCTTGAATATTAAATCTATTAATTTCCTTTGGGTTATTTTGGGCTACTTTGAAATTTTTCTTTTGGCTAAAATTTACACCTGGACTCCTTAAATTCAAATCTATAGAAATTATGGTACCAAACACGTATCCATACAGAGGAAAATGTGATCTAAATTTTCAGAAATGTAGCACACATGTAACATGTGTCCAAGAAATGTTTCTTTAGCTATTCTTTGGAAAAGGAAAATGGAGCTAGAATTGCTGAGCTCAGCTATCCAGGGAAAAGCAACATTACATCAACACTATTAACTTGCCAGTTGGAGAATTTAATATGCTGGAATCTATAGGATTGAGAAAGAGAGCCAAAGACAGAACCCTTGTTAAATTTAATAAATGTATGTGAGGAGAGTTGGCTATTTTTTCCACTTAGCATTTTTTCACCTGCATATTCACTTACATTTTTACAGGATGGAAATTAGTATCACATGGCTTTATTTTATCATGATTTTATTTTCAGTTGACTGGACAAGTATCCAATGGATTGGTGGATTACTATTTAGGTAAAGTCAATTACAAGCCAACAGTGATAAAATATTCCTCAGGGGATAGAAAGCTGACCAAGTATGTGACAAATCTGAAGCCTATTCACTTGAAAGCAGGGAATATCTGAGATTAAATTGAATTTCAAGTAGAAATGACTGACAAAAATACAGATGTTTAAATGCTGAATTTTTTTCATGGGAATTTTCTGAATACAAGGAATAACATTTTTAAGCTAATAGATAATAACTTATCTATGTGCTTCCCTTTCTCCCTCCCTCCCTTCTTCCCCTCCCCTCTCCATTTTCCTTTGTTAAATCTAATCAAACAACCGTTGGCTGACTTGCATAATAAATAAACACGATACAATGCTAGACACTTTGTGACTAGAGAGAAGACACAGAAAGCAAACAAATATGAAGCTTAAAAATAGCATTTTTATTGAGTGCTTTGAAAGGTGGAAATAAGGATCATTAAGAATATTTAGTATTAACTGTGCTCAAGTAAGCATCACACAGAGATTATCCCAACCTGCAATCATTCTGTTTTTGTCTCTACACAAACTTTTTTTGTTGGTACTAGGGATTAAACTAAGGACCGCACACTCCAGCTTGGCTTTGTATGTTTATTGTTGGTGTTGTACTACTTGAGCCATGCCTTCAAGCTTTCTCTTTCTTTCTTTGGTTCTTTCTTTCTTTGGTTCTTTTTCTTTCTTTTCCTTATTTCCTCTTTTCTTTCTTTTTTCTTTTCTCTCCTTCCTGCCTTCCTTCCTTCCTTCCAGCCTGCCTTCCTGCCTTCCTTCCTTCCTTCCAGCCTGCCTTCATGCCTCCCTGCCTGCCTGCCTTCCTACTGCTTGCCTGTCTTCCTCCATTCCTGCCTTTCTTCCTTTCTTCCTCTTTCCTTCCAGCCTTCTTTCCTCTTTCCTTCCTACTTTTCTGCCTTCCTGTCTTCCTCTTTTTCTTTTGCCTGATTGGAGATGAGAGTCTCATGGAATTTTCTGCCTGGGTAACTTTGAACCTCGATGCTGAAATCTCAGCATCCTGAGTAGCTAGGAAATAAGTACAAGTCATTAATACCTGAATCCATTTTTTTCCTGATGTAATTGGGGTTTGAATTCAGGGCTTCACATTTGCTTATCAGGTGCTCTGCCACTGATTACTTAGCCACCACTACAGCCCTTGTTTCTTTCTAATTTGTATTTTAATTTTATTTCCAAGGTGATGTAAACAGGGGTTACAGTTACGTAAGTAAGGTAGTGAGTACATTTCTTATTGAACTTGTTACCCCATCCCTCGATTTTTCCCACTTTCTCTCCCCTACCTCCCAAGTTGTACAGATTATTTCCAACATATTGTCTTGTGAGTGTCACTGTTGCATTGGCTTCCCCTTTGTCCTTTGTCTCACCATTTTTTGTTCCCCTTTCCTTCCCTAATTCAGATAAATATATATACAATACCCAGGATAC